TCGGGAAATTTTTACCACAGACTCAGTGAATGATGGGCAACAAAATGCACCTTTTAGATTTTCAACAGGATCACTTTCATTTTCTTTTATCAATTGTACAAAAAAGTTGCAATTGACTCATATATATAATAATATTTCTACCATACATCATGTATGGTAGAAACATTTCTGTTAGCTTTTGTTGGATATTTATAGAAGTTACCATAATGTGTTGTGGTTCTTTTCTTTGTTTGTCAAACAGAGTTTTGATAATAATATTAATCGTGAAATAAAGAAAAGGATACAACTTATATACTCAACAATATATCAGATGAAGGGGCAAAAGCAATTGCAGAAGCCTGAAAAACAAACCTTTTTCACTACTGTCACTAACAGAGGAGATCCTTACTACAGAGCACAACATCTTTGTGAAACTCCGAAGGAGATATCCTTGATTGTTTGTTTCTCAAGGCACAGTGAAAGTTCATATGTATAAAAATGCCCAGACACTATTTATCTACCATCGCCAGTAATCACCTCCTGTAGACAATGCTGCGGATGTCTAATGGAAGTCAACTAATTCTTTCGGAGATAATTGTTCTCCATAGGATACCCTACTGTACCAAATAAGGTGGCTGACTATTGTCAGGAACGGTTGGATTATTTACGGGACATCATGTATGGTAGAAATATTTGCAAAACATCCATGTAAATGTGCTATTTTTTAGGAAAATTTCGATTTTTCTTGAACGCTAACAAATTAGAATAGAACTGGGATCATATTCAGAAAGAACACAGTCAGACTCAAATTGGTTACGGACGATCATAACTCAGTAACGAAGCAAACATCGTTAAACACTAATTCTGCTAAAGCACCTGTTTCACTAATAACACCTGTTCAACCTTCTTGTCATGATCACCCCTCTCTGTCGCCAAATATTCTATTTGAACAGATGAATCAAAATTCAATAATCTTTAAGAGACGTTATTTAGCAACAAAATCTATTGCTGACAAAATTGATTGAACAAGGTTAGGTAATACTTTCTCATCAACACAAATGACAGAGAAGATATTCGGTGACTGATGGTGACATTGAAATTGCATGAAACATACATAGTCAGCAATGCTGAATCTGGTAGCAATGTTCGTTTTTGAAAAAGAATTCTAGAACATAGATTTATGCTGCGAATTTCAGAGTTATGGCTCGATTTTATTTTATAACTAATCCTGAAATTCGCCAAAACTTATTTTCGTCTATTAGAAAGAAATGACACGCATTCTAATTGAACTTTTTACGCTGATCCCGAATATGTATATATTTTCAAGTTTTGGCTGAGTATTGATCGCAAAAGCAGCAAAAGCTTAAAAAACAAGTGCATTGAGTTCTTTGATAAAGGAAGGTTTGCCGTAAGCCCATTCTTCATAACTTCCGCAGAATATATATAGTGACGCCATCCATCCAAGTGAAAATAAATACCATTACTACACAAACACCATTACCGCGGCCGGATTGGTTAAGTCTGACGGGTAGAATCAAAACAGGCAAAAAACCGTGTATAACGAAAATTTAATTTCATTAACAATTTCAGTTTGCCGAACAAAACTGCTGTTTTATTTTTTGCTATTCAGTTGATGGAAGTATAAACACACAAAGACTATAAAAGTTTATTCTGTTTTCGATCTCCAATTTTTGTTTTCTTGGCCCGCAATGACCTCAAACTAGGTTTACGATGTTAGGAACGGTCATGTTTACGATAATGAATAGAGTCGAAGGTCGAACTATCTTTTGTCCGCAATGACATTCGGATGAGTTTGCATTAAATAAGGTTCTTCAAAGTTTTAGGTTTTTGGAAAACCCGGCTCGAAATATTTCTATGCTTTATAAAAACAGCAATAGAAAGAGCATATCGAGAAACGTATAGCAAATTGTTTGCACGAAATTCTCGACATTTTTATTATATCTGTTTTCTAGAGGCAGAATTCTCCAGAAAACAAGAATAGAAGCACTCTGAAGTTTCGGGAGGTAGTCCAATGGAAAGAGCGCATCTGAAAACCTATAAAAAGTTTGTTTTTGAGCTTTCCAATTGATTTTAAAGCTGATGTCCGCCTGCTCTAGCCAGAAATGCCCACTGCGTTGTGGTACTCCGTTTTGGCGCAATAAGTAAGCATCCATCATATCGGAATAGAATTTCAGATGTAATATATTTAGTGCAAGCGAAATCTAAGGTTCAGCTAGATCAAAATTCAAGTGAATTTTATTTTTTCGATTTTAATATATATTCTGGTTCGTCTTCGGACGCTGATTCCGAATAACACATTTCGAACTTCAAAAATCCTTTCGTGGAGAAAATCGCGAAATACTGAGAGCTTGTCATAAACTGAAAAAAACGACCTCTATCGAAAGATTTAAATTTTGAAGTTGTGTTACATGGATGGAACTTTGAAACTTATTTTTTTGGAATCAGCGTTCAAAACTGATATAGAAAAAGTTTTTCAGAGCATTCCACCGATAAAAGTAGGTGCACCATGGGCGATCCAAACCGATCGAGGCCGATGAGGTGTGACTAGTTTTTTGGATGAAGGGCTGGACCTTTGATTCTTACGTCATTCGATCCGTCTTGAAGCGTAGAACAAAACTATGGAGAGTTTTTTTTTTAAATATTTTCGTTGCTGAGATTTTCGACTTTTACTGGAACCGATCGGAAACCCGGTCAGGATCGATCAGATGATTTTCGAATAAAACGGATATTTTTGAGCCAACAGAGCTGAAATTTTGAGTTTCTAAGTAAAAAATAACGACAAATCTAATGAAGGCATTTACAGGATCTCCAAAGTATTCCTAGAGGGTCTTTGAAGGTTTTCTGGAAAACCTCTTCCAATGACACGTTTGATCACACAAATCTCAAAGTTTTAGACTCTGCTGAACGGTTTCGAGTTGCCAAATGTTTTAGATATATTAGTTACTGTTCATCTCCTTAGTTTACATTTATTATGCCTCGGCCGACCAAACGTCACTCGCATTTACACTCGCTTAACCAAAAACGTTGCTCAGATGAGAATTTAGGAAGTGTAATTGACAGCGAATCGTCTGAGGAAGAGTTAGCGATGGAAGTGGATCAAAACGAAGATAAAAACCCACTGAACTTCAAAGACAAAGTAATGCTGAATGACATTTCTGATTTATTCGAACTATGTCAATCCAAATGTCTCACAAAATATATCACCTGTTTACTGTACATGGCTATGCGTCATTTGGGTCTTAAGTGGAACGATTGCCATAATTTTATGAAAGAAATTGGAGCCTTAACAAGTCAAACTGCTCACAAATGGACTAGTATATTTATTCACGGTGATTTTGACGAATTTTGTCACGAGAACAGAGGTGGCAAACGTAAAAGTGAATTCTACGATTCATTTCCTGAACTAGAAGAACAAGCAAAATTATTTACACTGGAGCGTTGTTCGAGAAAATCGGCAGATTTCACAGCCAATGACCTCGCTAAATTCGTTGATGACCAGTTTTATTTGATCACACAAACCGTGAAAGACGACGGTGCTCCGCTCGTTCGTTCTCCCGCATCCTGTCGAATTGATTTGCGCCGTTGGGGTGCTCGTTTCGAACAGAATGGAAATCGCCCTTATTTTGAGAGCCATGAGAGAGCCGATGGTATCGAACACTGTGCCAAATTTATCGATTTTTTTCTCGGAAGAAAAGACAATTTCTGTACGATATCAGATGAAGATCAGCCGATGTGGAAAATGCCTAGCAAAATGCCAGCTATAATTTTATTTTGTGAGTACATTTTGAGAGCTAGGTCTCTAATTCCATCTCCCTTTGCTTTTTTTCAAATTAGTTCATGACGAATCTACATTTAAATCGGGAGAGGTCAGTGCGAAACGTTGGTTTTATGGTGATACTGCACCCTTTCACAGTAAGGGTCGCGGTAGATCCAATATGGTTTCGGCCTTTCTCGTGCAGCATCCTTCGGGACCTTTCTTTGCTTTGAACGATACAGAATGGAAGAAAGCTGTCAAAAATTATCGAGAGTTAGACGAACTGTCAGAGATTGACTATCTTGAACACTCTGCCACAGCTTCAATTCAAGTCGGCAAAGATAGTTACTTTGAAAACTCAACCATACTTCAACAGTTCGAACGACTATTCGAGCTAATTAAATTCAAAAGTGAGAAAAAAAACACAAAAAGAAACAGAAAAATGTACGTGCTTAGTACATCGTGTAGTCACCGTTCTGTTGTATAACAGCCGCTACACGTGCTACCATACTGTCAACTAAATTTGACGCTAATTCGATAGGAAGGCGATTCCATTCCTCTTGATCAATGATTTTAAATGTCTTGGTTGCTTATCTGATACTCTAATTTTCAATATATTCCAGAGATTTTCTATCGGATTCAGGTCGGAACTTGCGGCTGGCCATGGTAGCCGTTCAACACCTTCAGCTACTCTCCATTGTTTAGCAAGTGCTGACGTATGCTTACGATCGTTGTCCTCCAGAAGTTTCCACCGTGTTCCCCTTCTAAATAGATTACGGGTTGATGGTAATAACACGTTTTGATAAATCTTATTTACTAAATAAAATCGATTCAAGTTCTGTTTAAAACAGATAATCCGACCAAAACCACTTCTCGCAAAACAGCCCCAAACATTGATTTTTGGTCCCCACTTGACTGTTCGATAAACTTTTCGATTTTTCCAATCTTGCCAGTAATGTTTCTTGACAGACCGGAGACGAAACGTTGATTCATCCGAGAAAGCTACATTGTCCCAGTTCTCGTTTACAACACCCCGTGCCCAGTTTAGTCGATTACGTATATGTTTAGCAGTCAGCAATGGTTTGGATACTTGGGCACAAAATATTTTGTTAGCTTCGTGAAGACGGCGGCAGATTGTTTTAGTACTTATATTGACCTTTCTTCTTTTTAAACCCTTCTGAATGGAAGAACAAGTTGATTCTACTAACTCTAATATCATTTGATCTTCATCTGCAGTGGTAACGCGCGAGCGACCCACTTTTGGTTCATTGGATAAATCCTTTGTACAAGCCCACCGTTTTTTCCATCGTTTCACGGTTGATGTAGCACATTTCACTATTTTTGCAATCTTTTTAACACCCAAATGTGGACCGTAGCGATGACACGAGAAAAAAATAATTTCATAACGTTTATGTAATGGTAGTAGGTTAGACATATTTGTACGTATCGTACAACACACTCAAATATACAACAAAACGGTGTATTTTGAGAAAAGAGGACGATTATGAGACGGAGATAAATCCTCCTCTGAATGAATGTGAAAAGTATGCGAATATATTCAATTCTACACATTTTAATTACTAAAATCGATATACTATTGATATATTAAGTATTCTACAAATGTTGAGTGTTTTAACATAACCAACATATAGACTACCATTC